GGCTCCCTGTGCCCCCACGGCCTCCTGAGGACAGCTTTCCCCCACTCCTTGGTCCTTGCCCCCTTTCTCTACGTTGCCTTGCCTTGGGCGTCTGGCCATCTGCAGCTCTAGGAGGAAGCTTTTTTTTTTTTCAATTTAATTTTTATTAGTGAAACACCATGAGGTACAGTTGTAGACTTACAAATTTTTGTGCTTGGGTTTCAATTATACAATGATCAAATACCCATCCCTCCACCAGTGCCCATTTCCCACCACCATGGGTCCCAGTATCCCTCCCACCCCTCATCCCCCCCATCCCACCCTGCCTCTGTGGCAGGGCATACCCTTTTGTTCTCTCTCTCCTTTTGGGTGTTGTGGTTTGCAAAAGAGGCATTGAGTGGCAATCATGTTTGGTCTATAGTCTGCTTCCAGCATGCTTCTCCCATCCTGGGAGGATCCATAGGAGGAAGCTTTTTGTAGGCACAAGGTGGAGGAGCTGGAGAGAGCGCAGGGATGAAGGCACCGGCCTTGCCTGAGCGGGTGTGCAAGAGCCAGCTCTCAAGGGTAGTAGCCTCCAGTGAGCCCTGTGGCCCGCTGGGTGGCCCCTCAGCCAGGAAAGGTGAGAGCAAGCAGGTGTGTGTGCAGCGCCCGTCGGGGGAATGTCAGAGTGGTGAAGGCAAGGGGGACGGAAGGCCAAAAAGAAATCATTTTAAATTACACCTCCCATTCCCCCATATTCTCCAACCTTATACAGCAGGTCTGGAATCCGACGTAAGGCCCCGCCCCCACTTTGCTGCCCCGAGCAGGTCTGGTGGCAGGGAGGAGCTGGGGGGAGAGTGCCTGGGACAAACCTGGTTCAACACCCAGCACCATGTGGTCTCTTGAGCATCTTTGGGTCCAGCTCTGGATGTTGCCTAAGCACCATAGGAGTGTCCTGGGTGGTCCCCAGCTCACTGCCTCCTCTGGCCCTCTCATTGAACTACTTCCTGGAGCAAGAAGGCAACGAAGACATTTGCATTGCAGGCAGCCCACCCGGGTGTGTGTCATCCTCGGAGTCACATAGGATCCCGAGTACTGCCACGGCTCAGTCCTGAGCATGGGCAGATATGGCCTCCCCCATCCCCAAATAAACAATTACAGAAGCAGATACCTGTGAACTGCTGGCTTGCTTGGCTGTGTATCCCCAGGAGGGACCTCAGACTTCCCATCTTCCCCAAAAAAATACAGAGTAGATGTATATCCTATCAGAATATGAAATTACTCCTTAAATTATACCCACTACTGGGCTGGAGAGATAGTACAGGAAGTGGGGTGTTTGCCTTGCATTCAGCCGAACTGAGTTTGATCCTTAGTACTCCAGACGGTCCTCCAAATACCAGGAATAATTCCTGAGTGCAGAGCCAGGAGTAACTTGTAAACAACACACATACACACACTCACCTGCTATTTTATTATTGACTGTGGTCCTGAGTACTCTGCTCTGAATCCGGGCCATTGAGAGACCCCCCAAAAGAGCCTGTGCTTCAGTGGTTTCAAGCATTCCCCCCGCCAGAGACCCCAGATGCACCTCTAGGGTGGCCTGTGGCCTGGTTTTCTGTCATAGACTGAAAGCCTGGATCATCTTGGGTTGACTTTGTGGGAATCAGATTTTAGGGACCAGAGAAATAGGACAAAGGTTCAGGCAGCTGCCTTCCACATGGTGCCTATCTCCACACTGCACTGAATAGGGTTCCCCAAACCCCACCGGGAGTGACCTAGAGTCCCACCAGGTGTGGCCCCAAAGTCAAAACCACAAAATGAAACCCCCCAAAAAATGGGGGTTTGGGTAGCTAAATCTGTAACAGTGATGTCCAGTGAACATCACGAATCCCCAAGCTCTCTCTTCATTCACTTCAAAGTGAATGGCTTCGGGGACCCTCTTGATCACATTTCAGGACCTTACCTGACTCTTCTTTTTTTCATCTTAACTTTGACCTGTTCAAAGATCTGTCCTCTTGCCTCGGCCTATGTTTCCAAGACGCCGGGTTTACCACTTTACGGCTCACACTCAAGTCTTGCTTAATTAGTATGCTAGGAACGGCAGGGAAAGAAATACCCAACAATTTGAAGCCTGCATACCTTTGCAGGGAGATTCCATTGAGCACATGAAAGGAAAAGTATTGGTGATCAGGCCCTAATAAACGTACCTGCACACATCCCACGTAAGAAGACCCCAGGCTGGCCGAGTGAAGCAATAGGGCAGGAGGAGGCTTCGGGAGAGGGGGTTGGTCTGGGGGATTTTTTTTTTTTTAACAATTACTCCATGCAAGGTGCAAGGGGAAAGATGACGGAAGAGGATGAAGGACTTATAAGAGACTGAGAACTCTTCACTATTTTTTCTGAGAACATGCAAAGGTGGTTTTTTTTTTTTTTATCAGAGCCCTCAAGAATCAAAAAGAACGTACTGAGTTCCAAAGCACAGTTTGGCTTTCCAGACTGCTCCCAAAAAAAAGAAAAAGAAAAAGAAAAGAGGGAAAAATAAAAAAGATCTCAGCCTTCAGTTTCCATTGAAGAAATCGCCCCAGCACTCCCAAGTCTTTTAATAAAGGCAGGACCCGGGGCCAGGCCTCTCCTCATCCAAATTTCACACACTTATTGAAGGAGTTTCGGGGCTTAATCAGCTCCTTCCGTTAGCTCCACTCCTCCCTGCAGGGAGAAAACCCCTTTCTCTTCTGCTAATTCATTTCCACCAAGTGACAGTAAAGAGGTTGTCCATTTTAGCCCAAGAGAGTCGTGTCTGAGTAGGTGAATGCATGAGGGGATGAGTGTCCCTGCACTCTGTGTGTGTGTATGTGTTTGTGTGTGTGTGTGTGTGTGTGTGTGTGTGTGTGCCCCCACGAGAATGCATACGAAATAAAAGCAAAGCCAGGGGACTGGTGCGATAGTACAGTGGGGAGGGTACTTGCCTTGCATGTGGCAGACCCAGATTCGATCCCTGGCACCCCATGTGGTCCCCTTAGCCCGCCAGGAATGATCCCTGAGCACAGAGCATAGAGTGAAGTACTGAGGATAGCCACCTGTGGCCCCCAAACAAAACAAAAACCAAACCAAATACAACGGAAAGGGCAAGTGAGCGAAGATGCGTGTGCTCGGACCTCAGGGACTTGCACCTGTGCGGTAATCACAGCCCTGGCGGTGCGCCTACAGATTTCCCTGATTTAAAGCAAGGAGTATCCAGGAGCGATCTCTTAGCACAAAGTCACAGGAAGCCCCGAGCGCCTAAAAACAATCGAACGAAAACTTTGACTGTGGGTGAGGAGATGGTTCAAAGGGCTGGAGCACGTGCTCTGCCAAAGGGTTGATCTTGAGCACCCTGGGATCGAGCTCCGCTGGGTGCAGTCCAGAAACAAAACAACACCCCACCCCCACCCCAGAGCACAACTGAATGACTTAGTGATGACTATATTTCATTTAATTAGCAAACAAGACCACATTTTGTTTACGGAAAATAAACCTCAGCAAACCTATGAAACAGACACCCCACTCCCTGTCTTTTGTTTTTGCTTTTTTTTCCTGTTTGGGGGCTATACCCAGCAATGCCCAGGAATTACTCCTGAGGGAACCAATAGGGATGCCAGGGATCGTTCTGAGTTGGCTGCACGCAAGGCCAGCGCCTGACCCACTGTCCTCTCTCCGGGCCCCACTTCTGCCTTTTGGATCTGACCCTGTAAAGCCACAGTGAGGCCACTGCTAGCCAAAAGAATAAATGAACTTCTCAGAGGTTGGTCAGAGAACAATACACCCAATTTCCCTGCTTTGATCTGTTTGGGGGCCACACCCGGTGGTGCTCAGGCCTTACTCCTGGCCCTGCCCTTTCACAGATCACTCGTGCCAGGGACACACTCAGGTCAGGCGTGTTCAAGTACCCCACCCACTGCACTCTCTCTTCACCCAGATACATTTTTTTTTTTTGCTTTTTGGGTCACACCCAGCAATTCCTGGCTCATGCACTCAGGAATTGCTCCGGTGATGCTCGGGGGACCATATGGGATGCTGGGATTCGACGCCGGGCAAACGCCCTGCCCGCTGTACTATCGCTCCAGCCCCAAGGGATACATTAATTCTTGGGTTAAGTCGTCTAGCTGGACCAGAAATATTTGGTTCTATCAATGCCCACAGCCTCGACAGAAAGCCACAATTTTATCACTCTCAGAGGCTGAATTCCGTTCAGCCCTTGGAGAGAAGAGACCCATTCACAAGGCTCCTGAGATCAAGAGCAGAGGCGTCTGGGCAGGTGGTGAGCATGGCCGTCCCTCCTGGGGCTTGGACCTGGCTCTTCTGAGCCAATTTTTTTTTTTTCTTTTTGGGTCAAACCTGGCGATGCACAGGGGTTACTCCTGGCTCTGCACTCAGGAATCACTCCTGGGCGTGCTCAGGGGACCATATGGGATGCTGGGAATCGAACCCCGGTCGGCCGCGTGCAAGGCAGACGCCCTACCCGCTGTGCTATTTGCTCCAGCCCTCTCTTCTGAGCCACTTTGGGCAATAAAAACCTTTCTGCTTACAGGGGCTGAGGCAATAGCACAGCGGGTAGGGCGTTTGCCTTGCACGTGGCTGACCTGGGTTCGATTCCCAGCATCCCAAATGGTGCCCTGAGCACCACCAGGAATAACTCCTGAGTGCATGAGCCAGGAGTAACCTCTGTGCATTGCCGAGTGTGACCCAAAAAGAAAAAAAAAATTATAGCCTGCAGGTTGATTTCTGCTGATAGCGGTGTTTTCTAGAATGACTGTGCAGTCTGCGTACATAGACAAGGGTACATGCGGATGGCCTGCAAAGCCTGGCCCCGGTGGCCCTGGGGATAAACAGCGGTGGCTTGCCTGCATTCAACATTCCCTGTGTGGCCACCTGAATCACACTGGCCATCTCCCCGGGGTGCCCAGAAGAGCTGTCCAGAGACCGAGCCCCGTCCAACAGGAGCCAAACCCGTGCCCCTCCCCTCCCCCCACCCCACCCCACCCCCCGCCTCGGCCTGCGCCCACCTTTCTGTTCAGGGCCACGCCGTCCTCGCAGTCCAGCACCGCACAGTCCACCTGCAGGCTGGGGATCTTGCGGATCTTCTTCTCGTCGTCGCCGGGCACGTACAGCACCGCTCTCCGGGGTGTGTAGCCGTGGGGGTCCACGGCGCTGGTGCTGAAGCTGGCCACCCTGGTGGCGGGAGAGGAGCTCCTGCGGGGACAGAATGGTCATCAGTCCCAGGGCTTGGTGGGGCGGGTCACGATCGCTGGTGGTCAGGCCAGGGGTGGGAGATTGGCCCTGGGGTTCCCCCCTGCAAAGCATGTCATTCGGCCCTTTGAGTCACCTCTCTGACCCCTGAATAGGCGTTCTGGGGGAGTGTGTGTGTGTGTGGTGGGTGGGGGGGGGGGGGTTGCTCTGTTCTGGTTTTGCCACACCCAGTGGCTACTCCTGACTCTGTGCTCAGGGATCCCTCCTGGCCGGACAGGGATCAAACCTGGATCAGCCACATGAAGGAAGCATCCTAACCCCTGGGCTATCTCTCTGGCCCCTAAAAATACAATATTTTTTTGCTTTTTTGGGTCACACCCGGTGGTGCACAGGGGTTACTCCTGGTTCTGCACGCAGGAATTACCCCTGGTGGTGCTCAGAGGACCACATGGGATGCTGGGAATCAAACCCGGGTCGGCTGCATGCAAGGCAAATGCCCTCCCTGCTGTGCTACTGCTCCACTCCCCTAAAAATACCTTTATGATTACCAGAAAGTGTCTGATTTAGGGCTGGGGTAATATGGTACAGTGGGTAGGGCATTTACCTTGCATGTGACCAACCAGGGTTCGATCCTCAGCACCCCGTATGGTTCCCTGAGCTTTACTAGGAGAAATTCCTGAGTGCAGCATCAGGAGTAAGCCCTGAGCACTGGTGGGTGTGGCAACTCCCCCCCCCCAAAAAAAAACACTGTCCTCCCGTTGTTCATCTATTTGCTCGAGTGGGCCTAGTAACGTCTCCATTGTAAGACTTCTTGTTACTGTGTTTGGCATATTGAATACTCTCGGTAGCTTGCCAGGTTCTCCGAGAGGGGCAGAGAATTCGAACCCGGCTTGGCCGGGCTCGCTTCATGCACGGCAAACGCCCTACTGCTGTGCTATTTGGGAAGAGCTTATTTTTTTAGGTTTTTATCCAAACTAGGCTCTATACAAACAGATCCAATTTGTACCTGTAGCACTGTAGCACTATTCTCCCGTTGTTCATCAATTTGCTCGAGCAGGCACCAGTAACTTTTGGCATATTGAATATATGCCACGGGGAGCTTGCCAGGCTCTACCGTGCAGGTAGGATACTCTCGGTAGCTTGCTGGGCTGAGAGGGGCAGAGGAATAGAACCCAGGTTGGCCACGTGCAAGGCAAACGCCCTACCCACTGTGCTGTCGCTCCAGCCGCAATCTGTATGCCTATTTTATATATCTAAATACCTGAGTACCTTAAAAAGATTTGTTGGGGGAGACAGTATAGTAGGAAGGGCATTTGCCTTGCACGTGGCTGACCTGAATTGGATCCCCAGCATCCCATATGGTCCCTTGAGCACTGCCAGGAGTAATTCCTGAGTGCAAAGCTAGGAGTGACCCCTGTGCATCACTGGCTGTGACCCAAAGACAAAAAATTAAAAAAAAAAAGGTCTTCGGTTCTCCCAATCACCAAACACCATCCTTCCTGCTCTCTCTCTCCCTCCCTCTCTGCTCTCCCCCCTCTCTCCCTCCCTTCTCTCTCCTTCTTTTTCTCTCTCCCCCCCTCTCCTTCTCTCTCTCTCTCTCTCTCTCTCTCTCTCTCTCTCTCTCTCTCTCTCTCTCTCCCCCCCTCCTGCCCCTGCCTGAGGCTGAGCCCTACTCCCTCAGATGTCTATACCAGGGTTTCTTTTTGGTTTTTGTTTGGGGGCCATGCCCTGGGTCTGTGCTGGGAGGCGGGGGTTCTCGATTGCACTCAGGAAACCTACAGCGATAGGGGTCCATCCCGACCCCTGTTCCCCCTGTTATCCTACATGCCAAGTCTGCCCCAGCTCTCTGGGCCGTTCTCTCCAGCCCAAACAACAAGGGCTCCTGAAACTGTTCCGACTCAAGCCCCTTTGTGTCCGAGAGACACGTGGCCCCAGGTCCACAAAGCAGTTTCCGAACCAAACCTCCCCTGGCAGGGGCCCATAACCACTGCCTGTGACCCGGGACCTGAGTTCCGGCAAGAGGGGTGCCGGGGAGGGGAGGGGGGCAACTCTGCCTTCAACTCTTGCAAAACCATCACGCTGCTTTCCAAACCGGCTGTCTCCCATTACAAACCACTCAAGTGTCATTTTCAAACACTCTCCGGCATATTCCGGCCCAGCTCCCACTAAGGATCTGCTGTGGAGCCAGAGACAACATCATCTTTCTGGTCTGTTTTTTATTGGGGGGGGGGGAAGGGGGCCACACTTGGCGGTGCTCAGTGCTCAGGAGTGACGCCTGGTGCTGCCCAGGGGACCCTACGTGGTGCCGATGCCAGGGTTTGGGTGCCCGCTGTGCTGCTTCTCCCTGTCCTTTATACAGCTGACCACAATGAAACAGAAGTGAGTGGCCAAATCAGGCCTCGTGGATGCCACCAGTGCACAAACACAAGTAACACTGTAGCATGGTCCTCCCACTGTTCATCGATTTGCTCGAGCAGGCACCAGTAATGTCTCACAACAAATTGTGAGACTTGTTGTTTGGCATATCAAATACGCCATGGGGAGCTTGCCAGGCTTTGCCGTGTGGGCCAGATACTCTCGGTAGCTTGCCGGGCTCTCCGAGAGGGGCGGAGGAATCAAACCCGGGTCTGCAAGGCAAACGTCCTACCCTCTGTGCTATCGCTCCAGCCCACAAACACAAGTATCTGGAAGAAAACGCAATTCTCATGGATTGTGTATCCGGTGAATGCTGAGTCCAGGGCTGGAGCGATAGCACAGCGGTAGGGCGTTTGCCTTGCACGCAGCCAACATGGCCGATCCGAGTTCGATTCCTCCGCCCCTCTCGGAGAGCCCCGCAAGCTACCGGGAGTATCTCGCCCGCACAGCAGAGCCTGGCAAGCTCCCCGTGACGTATTCGATATGCCAAACACAGTAACAACAAAGTCTCCAATGGAGACGTTACTGGGCCCGCTCGAGCAAATCGACGAACAACGGGAGGGCTGAGTCCAGGGATGGGGGACGGGGCTCCATTACAGGACCTTCCCAGTCAGCCTGAGTCCCCAGACTCCAGGAAACCCCTGTACACCAATGATCATCACTGCCCCCGCCCCCAGGGATATCTGTGACTACAAAGAGTGGGCAGTGACCTGAGGGGCGGAGCGATAGCACATCTTGCACACAGCCGACCCGGGTCCGATCCCTGGCATCCCAAACCTGAGTATGGCCAGGAGTGATTCCTGAGTGCAGAGCCAGGAGGAACCCCCAAGTATTGCTGGGTGTGGCCCCCAAACAAACCAACCGAAGAGTGAGCCGTGCCCAGGTCGGTGTTGGCAGCTGTCCGCAGCCCCAGGGCCAACCTTGGCAGGTCCCAAATGAAAGTGGGGATGGGGAGGGTGGGTAGTGAAGGAGGGATGCCAGCTGCACAGACTAGCAGGGGCCTGAGAGGGGAAAGTGGGTGTCTGGAGGGGGGGGAGGGGTGTTGGAGAGGGAGGGGGGAAGCGGGGGAGGAGAAAAGTGAATCCTGGACGTGGGATACAGCAGGACCTGAGCAAGGCCAGGGGGAGTCAGGGGTTGGAGACTCACTGTATGCTGTGCTCAGGGCTCGGGGGGCCATATGGGGTTCTGGGGATTGAACCCCGGTCAGCTGCATGCAAGGCAAGTACCCTCCCTGCTCTATTATCACCCTGGGCCTTGGGGAACTTGGTATTTTTTTTTACAAAAAAAAAAAACCAAACAAAACACAAACCACCCCATCTGGGGTGGAAGGGCTGGTCACCCAGTCAGTGCCCATGACTGGGTGCTCAGGGTCGCCTCACCTTCTTGGTGTGAGGAGGAGGAACAGAGGGGTTAGCCATTTCTGGTCCCTGGAAACACAAAGCAGCTTCAGGGGAGGTAGAGAGTCTGCCCTCCAGGTCCACTCTCAGATCCCTGTCTCCAGGAAGACAGCCACGGGAGCGGGTACCCGTCAACTCTAAATGCTTCAGAAGGGGCCACAGTGATAGCCCTGCATGCCATGCGGCCAACCTGGTTCCATTCCCAGCATCCCATATGGTCCCCTGAGCACTGCCAGGAGTAATTCCTGAGTGCAGAGCCAGGAGTAACCCCTGTGCATCGCCGGGTGTGACCCAAAAAGAAAAAAAAACCCCGCTTTAGAAAGGAGCACGCAAGTCACAGAGACCCATTTCTTCCTTAACGCTTTGATTTCCCAGGTCAGAAAAGGAGTGTGTCCACCCGGCAGAGGTGACTAGAGCCTGACTGAGTTCTTTGAAAGCTCAAAGGGGTCAGTGGGTGCATCTCTCTCCCATGGCCGCTTCTTTGGTATCAACGTCAGCCTGGGAGACTGCGGAATACCCCCTACTCCACAAAACGGCATGGTGATTTTTGAGAAAACCTGTTTTTTTTTTTTTTAAATAACTGTCATGAAAATGATCTGGGTTAATAGAATCTCCTTTGTAGACATTCTCAAAAATCCCTTTTAAGTGTCAATCTCGGTGAGAACGAGGCCAAAACATCCCAGAGCTTAAGAATTTGGCTATTTTGCAAGCCACGGGCCTTCGAGGCTCCTGGTTTGTGGATCTTGGGAAAAATTTAATATTGATTTCTCTCTCTTGCGCGCGGAATAATTTTTAGGAAGCGCACGGCCTGGGCCTAATTGCCAGACCCAGAACACACACACGAAAGCTGTGAAGACAAGCTGTGATCACAAGTCACATGGATGAGGCTCTGATTGTGCGGGACCCACAGTAAGATTCAGGGAGTTTTCTCTCTTTCTTTTTCCTCCCCCTTCTTAATTATTCAGAGCTAAGTGTGGATGAGAATTAAAAACGAAACATATGGATGCGACCAGGAAGGCTTTTTCTACCAAAGGTTTTTTTGTTGTTGTTGTTGTTGTTGCTGTTGTTTTTATTTTTAAAGTTAAGTCTGCTGTGCTACGGGCACTAACTTCCTTGAAATCTCTATTTCAGGCCAGATTTCCCACAACTGGCGCGCGTTTCATGGGGGCCGAAGACTGCCTGGATTCTGTG